GGACTTCGGGGGGAAGTTATTCACTGGGGTCACACCAATAAGGTCGTCTGCCACCCAGGGATCCTTAAGACCCTGTCAGTGATCCAGCAGCGCTTCTGGTGGCCTAAAATGAATCTAGATGTCACTGAATATGTCAATGCCTGTTCTGTATGTGCCACGTGTAAAGTTTCACAGCAGAAACCACATGGAGAGCTTCAACCGCTCTCAATACCTAAACGCCCATGTTCTCATGTATCTCTAGATTTTGTTACCGGTCTCCCTCCCTCTAGTAGGAATACTGTGGTTTTAACAGTTGTCGACAGACTTTCTAAAATGGTACATTTAATTGCCCTGCCTAAACTTCCTTCAGCCAAAGAGACTGCCAAGGCTCTCATCCAGCATGTTTTCAGGATCCATGGTTTTCCGGAAGATGTCGTCTCCGATCGAGGCCCCCAGTTTATTTCCAAGTTCTGGAAGGAGTTCTGCAGTCTGCTAGGAGCCACAGTCAGTTTATCATCAGGTTTCCACCCACAGTCAAATGGTCAAACTGAACGCTTAAATCAAGAACTGGAAAAAGGACTACACATCACAGCATCACAACACCCCAACACCTGGTCTTCTCAATTGGTTTGGATCGAGTTAGCTCACAATTCATTGCCATCTACATCATCTGGTTTTTCTCCGTTTCATGTTGTCCATGGTCACCCACTGTCTCTGTTTCCCTCCACAGACCCTGTCAGCCCTGTCCCGTCGGTTCTTTTATTAATCAGATGCTGTAAGAGGACCTGGGAGCGAGCTCGCCAGCACCTCCTGCGGCAGTCCGCTGCTTATAAAGTTGCAGCAGACAGGAAAAGGTCGACAGCTCCCGCTTACTCCATGGGTCAAAAGGTCTGGCTCTCAACGAAAAATCTGCCACTCAGGGTGGAGTCTCACAAGCTCGACCCAGGTTCATCGGTCCCTTTCCTATTTCCAAAGTTGTTAACCCTGTGTCTGTTCGTCTGCATCTCCCCAGGTCCATGCGTGTTCACCCCACTTTTCATGTCAGTCACGTCAAGCCTGCACTCACCAGCCAGCTCTGCCCTCCAGACAAGCCCCCTCCACCCCCCCGGTTCATTGACGGCGGGCTGGTTTTCACAGTCAGGAAGCTCCTGTCTGCCCGTCGTCGTGGCCGGGGGATCCAGTACCTGGTGGACTGGGAGGGGTACGGACCGGAGGAGCGGTCCTGGATCCCCTCATGTTTTGTTTTAGACCCCTCTCTCATTTGTGACTTCCACGCTGCGAACCCTCAGGCACCTGGGCCTTCAGGAGCCGGCCCTTGAGGGGGGGGTACTGTCATGTCTGTCAAGTTTCTGTTCATGTCTGCACATTATGTCCCGTTCTAGGTTTACTTCCTGTACCTGTCTTGTCTCACCTGCTCCCTGATTACCTCCCCGCACCTGTTTCCCATTGACCCTCATTACCTCGTGTATTTTACCCTGTGTGTCTCACTGTCTTGTCGCCAGTTCGTTGCACTTCACAGTCCTCGTACCAGCGTTACTCAAGTTAAGTCACAGTCTGTTTGATCTCGACCTTGTTTCTGCTTTTTGACCTTGCCACTTGTCTGACGATTTTGGATACCTTTGTCTGTTTGATCTTGACCTTGTTTCTGCTTTTGGACCTTGCCTCTGCTCGCCGATTCTTGGATACTTCTGCCTGTTGGACTGATTTTCTGTGTACCGAACCCTGACTGCCATTAAACCTGTCTTTTGCCCGAACCTACTGAGTCAAGCATTTGTGTCCACCAATTCTGTAATGAGTTCATGACAGAACGAACTGGCCAGAATGGACACAGCTGATTCAGACCTGGTTTGCAATGCCATACGAGCACAGAGTAAGAAATTAGCTGAGCAAGAACAGCAGCTCGCTGCTCTATGCTCCAACCTGAGAGACCTAGACGCACAGCAGGACTCAATGATGCAAAACCTGTGCTCTCATGTTAATTTGTTAGTAGAGTGGCTAGATAATGCAGCTCCGACCACCGCTGCTCCAAGCACAGCAGCTGATCCTCCGGCTGCCGCAACTGCCGCTGCCGCTGCCGCTGCCGCGGCCGCCGCTGCTCCACTGCCTGATGCCGCTAACACGTCATGCTTGCAGCTCTCCTGGCCCCAGAGATTTTCAGGAGACTCTGGTGATATCAAGCCCTTCCTGACTCAATGTAAGCTTCATTTTGAACTGCAGGCTGTGGCCTTTCCGACTGAGCACTCAAAGATCGCCTTTATTATTTCCCATCTGTCTGGGCGTGCTGAAGCTTGGGCCACTGCTGAGTGGAGTCGGCGCGCCTCGTCATGTGTCATGCTCGCAGGATTCACCAAAGCACTCACACAGATCTTCCAGCACACATCACCAGGTCGAGAGGCTGCTCGGGCTCTTGTTAACCTAAGGGAAGGTAGACGCAAGGTCACAGACTATGCCATTGATTTTCGTACGCTAGCTGCAGAAAGCGAGTGGAATACTTCTGCACTAGCTGATGCGTTTTTTCAAGGATTGTCAGGAAATATCAAGGATCACATGGTCGTCATGGATCTACCAGAAGATTTGGATTCACTCATTGTTCTTGCCATCAAGATCAACAAGAGGCTTGCCGAGCGAGATCAGGACCGGGGACGATTCCCTGTACGTGTGTCGCATCACCAGGAAGGCAGAGGCTNTCTGGTAGGTTACCAATGTCCTGGAAAAAGGCAATTGTGGTCCCTATAGTGAAACCAGGGAAGGACCCGTCCTCTCTGTTGTCATATAGGCCAATAGCTTTAACATCAGTGTTGTGTAAAGTGATGGAGAGGATGGTTACCAATAGGTTGGTTTACTTGCTGGAAACAGGAAATTTCTTTGCTGAATATCAGAATGGATTCTGAAAAGGGAGGAGTACGATGGACTCTGCAGCAGTGTTGGATAAAGAGGTCAGAAGAGCTATTATACACAAGGAAGCTGTGGTTGCAGTGTTTTTGGATATTGAAAGGGCTTATGACAGTTTATGGAGGGAGGGCCTGCTCATTAAGTTGCACAATGCAGGTGTCTGTGGGAGGCTATTTGGTTGGATTAAGGACTTTTTGAGCAGTAGACAAATTCAGGTTAGGATAGGGAATGTGCTGTCTGAAGCTGCAGAAGTAGAAAATGGTACCCCCCAAGGGTCAGTGATTTGCCCCGTTTTGTTTAACATTATGATAAATGATATTTTCAAATCTGTGGATGTGAAATTTGGTAACTCCCTTTTTGCTGATGACGGGGCCATTTGGAGAAGTGGGAGGAATATTGAGTACTTGGTCAGTGAGACTCAGAGCGCTCTCAATCATGTTGTGAAGTGGGCAAATAAATGGGGTTTCAGGTTATCAACTGAAAAGAGCAAGTTTATGATTTTTGGTTTGAAAAAGAAAATTCCGTCATGTAGTATTGCAATGTATAATTCCCCAATTGAGCGAGTGAGCGTTTTTAAATTCTTAGGACTTTGGTTTGATGAGAGGCTGACTTGGAGGACTCATGTAACCAAAGTAGTCGTTGAAAGTGAGAAAGTAATCAATGTTATGAGAAGTCTGTCAGGGTGTGATTGGGGGGCAGAGAGGTATACATTGCAGCTTATTTATAGGGCCATGATTAGATCATTATTGGACTATGGGTGTGTTATCTTTGGGGCTGCTTCTAAATCTGTCTTGAGTAAACTTGATTGTGTGCAGGCTAAAGCGCTGAGACTCTGCTGCAACAACTTCCATCCCTGCATTATTAGTAGAAATGAGAGAGTCTCCTTTGAGCCTGAGGCGAACCAGGTTGGGACTTCATTACTGGGCTAAAGTGGCAGGGTACAGTGGACACTTGGCAGCTAAATGGTTGCTGGAGGACAGCTGGGAGTTTGGGAAAAAGCCAGAGAAGGCTTGTTTTATGTCTTGGGTGGCAAAGGTTGCCCAAAATCTGGAGTTTGAGAAGGATGCTGTGGTTGGAGTAGTGTGGCCCTCAGTGCCTTTATGGAGGTTGCCTGAACCAGAGGTTAATGTTGAGTTGCTGAGTGTGGCTAGGGGGGCAGCATGTGGGCATCTGCAGCGGGTTCTGAGTGAGCACGGAAATGCAGTCCAGATCTACACTGATGGGTCTAAGGAGGGATGCAGAACAGGGTTTGGGCTGTATGTAGTAGAGCCCCTGGTTAGACGCAGTGTTCGTGCAACAGATAATTTATCTGTGTTTTTGGTGGAGCTACTTGCCATTTGGTGTGCACTGAGGTGGGCTGAGCTGAACAAACCGCTATTTTCTATAATCTGCTCAGATTCTGCCGCCGCTCTGTCAGCCCTCAGCCATAGATCTTCTGAAGCACAACTTGACTTGATCTTCTGCATTCTGTCTTACCTTGGCAGAATTGAAAGTGTGGGGTCCGTTGTGACATTTGTATGGGTCCCTGGCCATTCTGGGGTGCAGGGAAATGAAATAGCGGATGCATTGGCCAAAGAGTCACTCTGCAGGGGCTCGGTAGAGTTTGTGCTGCCACTGGGAAAGCAGGAGTGCTATAGCAGCTGTAAAGAGCATCTTATTAGTCAGTGGCAGCAAGAGTGGGAGGGGGAGAGCAGAGGGAGACATTTTTTTTCTTGTCAACCGTCTGTGGCAAGCACTAGACACCCAGTGACTTCTTGTCGTAGAGAGGAGGTTGTTTTAACAAGACTGCGCTTTGGACACTGTGGCCTTGCATCCAGCCTATTTACTGTAGGAAGACATGAGAATGGGTTGTGTGAGTGTGGCGGATCAGAAACCCTGAGTCCTGTTGTCCTGCAGCAAATATGAGAGAGAGAGCGAGAAGCTGTTTATGGAGCTGCCTGAGACAGGCTTGACTGTCTTTTCAACTGGGTCAATACTGTCTTACAATCAGAGGGGAGTGGGAGATGCTGTGTTGTTGTATCTCCGCCGTAGTGGCCTTTTTATGAGAATTTGAAAGTCCTGACTGACAGTGGAGGGCAGCATTGCGCACTCCAGCGTATAGCCTGTCGGAAATCAACAGAAGAAGAAGAAGAAGCCCTGGGTACGTGAGTGTTTGCATGCTGCCAGAGTGAAGAAACAAACCCAGAGGGGCTCTACGAGTTGGTTTTCTCTTTGCCTTTTTCCTCGAAACACGGATAGTTGGAGCTTTAGCGGGAGTCGAGCGATGCGGACGGTCACCGACATCCATCGTGGAGCCGTAGCAGCAGCTCCGGGCTTCGAGTAGAAGACCTGACCTGTGCAAACTCTGGAAAGCTTCTCAGGACATTCAGTCGAAGCTGGGAGTTTTGTTTTTTTTTAGAAAAAAAATATCACATGCGACACAGGTTGGATTTCTGATCTGAGGAAGCATGATTTTGAGGAAAATCCAGTCAGGCGGCTGCAGAACATGGCTGTCCCGGGTGAGTTTAGTGTTTAGAGTCAAACTAAAGAGCTTAAAACATTGGAATTTGTGATCTTATAGTATATTTATCACAGCAGAGAAGCTGCAGATCTTGTTTTCGCAGTCGTGTCTTTCACACTTCCTATTTTGATTGTGGCTGTGGTCGCGCCCTGCTTGATATTGGCATTTGGTCAAACTGTACTGCTCTGTGCTGACATGCTCAGTTACTGTAGCTGCACTGCAATTATACAGCTAATTAGATTTCATCATAGCTTCACATCACAAATATATTTTACTTGATCCTGCAGAAATTTCACTTATCCTCCTCCCCTTCCTCCTGTCTGCAGGTTTCACTGAGGCCAGAGGTGTGTTTGTTCTCCTCAGTGCCTCCCCAGCCGGTGCCTCCTCTGATCCAGACCCTGCAGGGATACCTGAGGGCCTTGGAGCCCCTCCTGCCCCCCGAGGAGCTCAGCCACACCCGCAAGATAGTGCAGGAGTTCAGCCGGATTGGAGGCCTCGGTCCGAAGCTGCAGGAGGCTCTGGAGAGGAGAGCCAGACTCTCCAAGAACTGGGTATGTGTCTGCTATCAGTGTGTGAAGGGAGGCAGCTGCTGGAGGTAGACATGAACACACCTGGAGCTCATGGGCAGATGTACAAGAAACGTTGGAAAGTAGAATCAGCAACAAAATACAGACTGATCTTAACTTCTTACAGTCAAATCAGGTCATGCAGATGAGCCAAAGTGCTGCCCAGTAGGGTCATTCCACTTGATTAAAACTCCTTTATTTATAAACTATGGATATGTAAAATCCGTCTTTCCATGACGGCTTCAATATTTTTCTATTTATATTTCAACTCACCCATAATCAGAGCTTATTCAATGTCCAATATTGCAGATTCTTAATTGTTGCCGTGATTAGAAATAACAGTGAAACAGTTACGTTCTTTTATCTTTAATAGTTCCTGGGATATTATGGTTCAAACATGGGAACAACAGGGAATTTAAAAACAATAATCTCACAGAGGTTTTTTTTATATATATAAAGCTAAAATTCCCTCATCTTTATAAATATCCATATTTTATGCTACAAAACGTTCAGACAAATCAGTGATGGTGAAGCACAAAAAGTTTTAAAAATGTGATTGTTTGAGACGTTTTGATCAAACAGACATAAAAACTGGCATCATGAATTAAACCAGTAAGTTTAAATATTAAGGTTAATTATGTGAATTTAACTGGGTAATTTAAATATTACAGGTAAAACCCTACAAAATTATTTTTTTTAAATGGCATATTAAGGTTAAGACCCTCAGTGTTATTTATGGAGATTTACTTATTTAAATCTAAAGTCGAAATGAATCCAGTAAAAGCAAAGAACTGAAAATTATTTTTTTATCTGTGTTGTTCAGGTTGTTTTTTGTGTATGTGTTGAGAACATTTTCCCAACAACAAAACCGACTCAAAAACTCTAAAACGTTTATAAAAACACACTAAAGTCTCCAAAATATATGCTATGTATTAATATTTCTAGACAAATTTAACAAAACATTGAATATCTGTTTTTTTTTTTCTAGCATTAAATGATATTTAATTGAATATTTTGGTCGTTTGGGCTGCTGGTCTCACAAAACAAGACATTCGATGAATTTTGGCTTAAGATGTCTGTCTTCTTTTGTGATGGAACAGATACACACCTAGGCAAAATTGTTGGTGCCCCTCGGTTAATTAAAGAAAAACCCCAACAGTCACAGAAATAACTTGAATCTGACAAAAGTAATAATAAATAAAAATTGTATGAAAATTAACCAATGAAAATCAGACATTGCTTTTGAACCTGTGGTTCAACAAAATTATTAAAAAAAATAAACCCATGAAACAGGCCTGGACAAAAATGATGGTATCCTTAACTTAATATTTTGTTGCACAACCTTTTGAGGCAATCACTGCAATCAAACTATTTCTGTAACTGTCAATGAGACTTCTGCACCTCTCCGCAGGTATTTTGGCCCACTCCTCATGAGCAGACTGCTCCAGTTATCTCAGGTTTGAAGGGTGCCTTCTCCAGACGCCATGTTTCAGCTCCTTCCACAGATGTTCAATAGGATTTACATCAGGGCTTATAGAAGGCCACTTCAGAATAGTCCAATGTTTTTCTCTTAACCATTCATGGGTGTTTTTAGCTGTGTGTTTTGGGTCACTATCCTGTTGCAAGACCCGTGACCTGCGACTGAGACCAAGCTTTCTGACACTGGGCAGCACATTTCTCTCGAAAATACCTTGATAGTCTTGAAATTTCATTATACCCTGCACAGATGCAGCAAAGCAGCCCCAAAGCTTCCATGTTTCACACTAGGGACAGTGTTCTTTTCTTGATATGCTTCATTTTTGCATCTGTGAACATAGAGCTGATGTGCCTTGTCAAAAAGTTCCAGTTTTGTCTCGTCTGTCCAGAGGACATTCTCCCAGAAACTTTGTGGCTTGTCAACATGCAGTTTGGCAAATTCCAGATTTGTTTTCAACAATGGTGTCCTCCTTGGTCGTCTCCCATTAAGTCCACTTTGGCTCAAACATCGACAGATGGTGCGATCTGACACTGATGTACCTTGACCTTGGAGTTCACCTTTAATGTCTTTAGAGGTTGTTCTGGGCTCTTTTGTTACCATTCGTATTATCCGTCTCTTAGATTTGTCATCAATCCTGCGGCCACGTCCAGGGAGGTTGGCTACAGTACCATGGATCTTAAATTTCTGAATAATGTGTGCAACTGTAGTCACAGGAACATCAAGCTGCTTGGAGGTGGTCTTATAGCCTTTACCTTTAACATACTTGTCTATAATTTTCTTTCTAATCTCCTGAGACAACTCTCTCCTTCACTTCCTCACGTCCATGTTTAGTTTGGTACAAACCATGTCACCAAACAGCACAGTTACTACTTGTAGCCCTATAAATAGGCCGACTGACTGATTACAAGTTTGTAGACACCTGTGATGCTAATTAGAGGATACACCTTGATTGAACATGTCCCTATGGTCATATTATTTTCAATCTTTTCTAGGGGTACCATCATTTTTGTCCAGGCCTGTTTCATGACTTTATTTTTTATTGTTTAATAATTCTGTTAAGTCACGGTTCAAAAGCAATGTCTGATTTTCATTGGTTAATTTTCATAGATTTTTTAGAATTTATTATTACTTTTGTCAGATTCAAGTTATTTCTGTGACCATTTTGGGTTTTTCTTTCATTCACCGAGGGGTACCAACAATTTTGTCCACGTGTGTAAGTAGTCAGATAATTGAGAAACAAATCATAATGTTTATAGTAATGAAATTGATCTTTTGTAGCCCCGTGCTGATGAGAAGTTTGACGAAAACATCACAAACAAACAAAAATGTGTCACTTTAATGAGTTTGTGCTGCCAATAAACTAACAGATAATTTAACGTAGGAGAGCAAGAAAAATATTTATGTATATGGCAGTTTTCAAAATAAAAGTAGCAAACTGCAAGGTGGCTCGGCGGTTAGCACTGTTACACCAAGAAGGTCGCCAGTTTGCATCCTGGTGAGGACACCCGGGATCTTTCTATGTGGAGTTTGCATGTTCTCCCTGTGCAGTGTGGGTTTTCTCTGGGTTCTCCGGCTTCCTCCTACACAGTCCAAAAACATTTTGAGGTTAATTGGTGATTCTAAATTGTCCGTAGGTGTGAATGTGAGTGTGCTTGGTTGTCTGTCTGTCTGTCTGTGTAGCCCTGGATAGACTGGCGACCTGTCCAGGGTGTCTCTGCCTTCGCCCTGAGTGAGCTAGGATAGGCTCCAGCCCCCCATGACCCTAGTGAGGATTAAGGGGTGTATAGATAATGGATGGATGGATGGACAAACAAACAAACGGGACTGAAAACTTGATCTACTGTTACAAATCGCTGTGATTTTGTTTAGAGCTGATTTCTGTGCTTCTGCTGCAGATCTCGGACCGCTGGGTGCAGTGGGCGTACTTGGAGAGCAGACAGCCGCTGCCCGTGCACTCGAACCCGGCCATCTCTCTGCCCCGCAGAGACTACAACGACTGGAGGAGCCAGCTGGTGTGAGTCCACTCATGCTGATGTAGTGACGCAGCATGACTTGTTTAATATCAGCTCTGGACGTGATGGTTTCAACATGCACAGAAACTCAAAACACTCAGCTGCTGCTTGTTTAGTCTTACTAGTCAGCAGATAAATAAATTCTGCTGCAGTACTATAAAAGCTCATTCTGAATCAAATTTGTCAAACTTTACATCATGAAAGCACAAAGTCTCGTCATTCAAACTGTAAACTATTTTAAGACAGTAGCAACAGCAGGTGCTGACTTTGAGGAGTCTGCAAACACATCGAAACGGCACTTTTTCTGTCACCTCTGCCTCTTCTGCACACAGTTTTCACAAGAAAAAGGCTTTGAGCGAGCAAAATCGACACTGTGTTGTATTGTAGTGTTGTGTCTTTGTGTCCTCTTCTGCTTGTGATGCGGATGCTCAGCTGTTTATTGTGTGAATCACTTAGCTGTTGCCATTTAAACCTTGTAACATGACGACCTGCTGCTCTGTGTGCTGCACAAACACTCCGGCTGGTAACTTTTCAAAAAGACAGTTGCATAAATTCAAATAATTTGCAACTTTTATTTATGAGTTTGTTTTGGTGAAATTCTTGAAAGTCAGCACCTAGAACACCCTACTAAGGTGGGCACTGTTGAATTTAAAGTTAATTTAAGTAGATATTTGGATACTATTTGATATTTTTAGTTTTAATACTTTTGTGGATGCCTATACCGAGCAGAAAGCATGATCAATTCACATACAGTTGACACAATGAGTCTATGTTGCCTTGTTTATCAGGAATCTTTTCATTTTCTTGGTATTTCTGAACATTTGATAAACCTTTCATCCTGCCTAAAACCTCTTTTGGTTCTGTGCAGGAAAACCCCTGAATGTGAATTGTTTAATGTGCAGTTACGGTTGAAAACTCTAAATCTGTTCCATATTAATAAGAAAATGTTTGTTTCCTCGCAGGTTTGCATCTAAACTGATAGCAGCCGTTCTGGACTTCAAAGCCAGAATTAACACGTGAGTCTTTCTTTATAGCAGATTGTAGACAACACATGAGAATGGCAAGAACTCCCTTTGTGTTTTAAAGGTAAAATATTAGAAAAAATAATGCTATGGGTTAGGGCTGCACAATTAATCGAATTTTAATTACGATCACAATATTGGCTTCCTACAATCAAATTTGCATGATCGAGCGATATTTAAAATGTTTATTGCTGTGTTCACACCAGACGGCTGTCTCTCAGGTGGTAGAGCGGGTTGTCCACTGATAGCAAGGTTGGCGGTCCGATCCCCGGTTCCCCCCACATGCTGTGTCTTGGGCAAGACACTGAACCCCAAATGGCTCCAATGGCAGATTAGCGCCTTGCATGGCAGCTCTGTCGCCATTGGCGTATGTATGAATGTGTGTGTGAACGGGTGAATGAGAAACATTGTAAAGCGCTATATAAGTGCAGACCATTTACCATTTACCATTTACCATTTAGGCGCGCGTAAAATCATTCACCTGAATGATTTTCATGTAAAGTCAATTTGAAGACGCGAGTAGACATCCTGCAGCACGATTGATGTGAATTGAGCAAGTTATTTGCGTGTATGATGCGATTCTTGACGTGCGTTTGAAGAGCAAGTTGAAAAATCTGAGCTTTTGCAATCTGACGCGCTGCGTTGGCCAATCAGCATTGAGATTCTCTGCTGACATCAACATCATGATTCATTCAGTTTTTTACAACTACACCGTGATTACTGATTGATTTACTCACCCCAGGAGATAAGTAGCCACATTACTGGCCAAGGCAGATCTCAGTGCTCAGCAGAATGGATGTCCCTCTCCTCCAGTTCACACACAAGAATGCTACTCTTCAATTTAGCAAGCTAGCGAGCTGAGTTGCTAGCTATCGCAATGCTAGAGGGATAAACCGCCGCTAGCTCCGTGTTGCTGTGGTCAATGGACTCCTGCTGGCGGCCGCTTGTCTGTGTTGTTGTATGTGGCACGGAAAAAACATCACTCTATGTCAGCGAGCTGATACCACAATGTAGTAATTAATAAATTAATTTCCATTTTTCATATTTTTAGGGGTATTTTTCTTCTTTAGCTACAGAGATATTATGATGTATTGTAGATAACTGTCTTATAATATATCGCCAAATCACCATATCGTTGCTTACTGTGTAATTTTTCTGAATTTTTCATCAGTAAAAGTAGTAAAGCCTCTCTGTAAAAAGTGATTTTTTTTTTACTAGATAAACCCCTAAATGTATATAGTATTGTCAAAAAGGTGTAATTAAAGTTGTATATTGATGGTAATTTAATCAGCATTTTTTCCATTTAGCTCATATTAACATTATTTTAATGTTGGGCTGTTTATTTCTTCAAAAAATGGTCTTGTGAAGCTATTTCTGTCTATAACAAAGTCCCAAAAACTTTTATTTGTCTTTATTAAATCATTATTTTAACCAAAAATGTCAAAAAAAAAAGGAACGACTTACAGATTGTATTTGAACTTTTTACAGGAAAATTTAACTTTAAGGTCTCAAATTCAGACTTGAATAACTTGATGACGATGAAATGATGATGCATCATTTTTTAGAAGCTCATCAAAACAAGAATCTGCAAGATATTGAAAATTATTAGAAACTAGTGATGACAGATAAAAAAAAGTGGAATAAAAAGCACAAACATTTTCAAAATGTAGTGAACTGTAACTATAAAGTGCCAAAAAATTTAAATATTAGACTTCAGCCTAAATGAACATGTTTTCAATGCTGCTTAGTATTCAGTGTTGCTACTCTGTGAAGATGAAAACAGTAACATATACTAATTCCATAATAACCAAATGAATCCAGCTCCTGACAATTATCTGCTGTTGTAGTGACAATGTTGGTTATTAGCTACAACAGGACTCTGAGCTGCATTTAGCTGCAGTAATCCTCTGGGGACGTTTTAGGCTGCTGCATTGCAGCCACTTTCACCGTCATCTATTTTTGGGCTGCATCCTTTGACCCAGCTGGCATCGCCTGCTGTTTTTCTGCATGAACTGAATCTGCCTCTATATTTATTTGCCTTCGCTGACTGTAACAGTATCTGCAAACTTTTTGTTTTCAGTCGGAGCAGCACTTCAGTCCAGTTTTTAGCTTTTTTTGTATATATTTTTTCTACTTTATTAAAAATCATTGAAGCTGCTCTCCCTCCTCATTTAATCACTGAGCATTTTCTGCTACTTTACGTTTCAGAAGAACATGTCAGATTTTTACTTAATTTAAGTTATTAGAAATCTACAGTGACAAGTTACTTTTCAGCAGGGCTGCATCTAACAATCAGTGTCATTGCGGATTATTTTCATGATTAATCGACAAGGTAAATGCCTTTTTTTTTGTTCAGCACTCAAAGATGTTCAGTTTACCGTCACGGAGGAGGTACAAAACCAGAAAACATTCACATTTAAGAATCTGAAATCAGGAAATTTAGAATTTCTTTCTTAATTTGATTGATTATCAAAAGAGAGATTATTTTTTAGCTTTTATTTTCTGCTTTAGTTGAGGACATTTTGACCTCACAGTTATTCTGTTATTATCATTTGCATTTAGATCTATCAATTGGTTGACATATCCATACAAAGCAGTTTATGTTATGAGTTTTTAAAGGCCCCCAAAAAGAAAAACTTTCAGCAAATATTAGAGAAAATTCCAGAAAATGTGTTTTATTTTCTTTTTTCTCCCCAATAATAAACTCATAACCCATGGGATTTATATTGTGACCAAATGGAGATGAACAGGGGCTGCAGGGTGGCGCAGTTGGTAGCACTGTTGCCTCGCAGCAAGAAGGTTGCCGGTTCGCGTCCCAGTGGGGGCACCGGAATCTTTCTGCGGGTTCTCCGGCTTCCTCCCACACAGTCCAAAAACATGTTGAGGTTAATTGGTGATTCTAAATTGTCCGTAGGTGTGAATGTGAGTGTGCTTGGTTGTCTGTCTCTAAGTGTAGCCCTGTGATAGACTGGCGACCTGTCCAGGGTGTCCCCTGCCTTCGCCCTAAGTCGGCTGGGGTAGGTTCCAGCCCCCCCCGCGACCCTCGTGAGAATTAAGCGGTGTACAGATAATGGATGGATTACTTTTGTCAGTTTTAAGTTATTTCAGTGACAGCTGTTTTTTTCCTTCTTTAATGGGAGGGTGTAAATAAATTTGAGGACGACTATAGAAGATCCCCGGTTCGCGTCCCGGTTAGGATGCCTGGGATCTTTCTGTGTGGAGTTAGCATGTTCTTCCCATGCAGCGTGGGTTCACTCCAGGTTCTCTGACTTCCTCCCACAGTCCAAAAACACGCCGAGGTTAATTGGTGACTGTTGGTGAATATTAATAAAACTTGTGTGTTTGTTTTTCCGTCAGTGGGCAGCTGCCGGCCGAGCACATGCGAGGGATGCCTCTGTGCATGGAGCTCTACCCACTGCTCTTCTCCTCCTGCAGGATCCCCGGCCCCAAACATGACTACATCGCCCACTACGGTCGATCCAGACGCTCGCCAACACACATCACCGTGGTCAGGAACTACCAGGTGGGTTATGGCGACACACAGTGGAGGGCGCAGTCAGACTCTGCTGTTGTTCTCTCCTGTTGTTGGCTCGGCATCAGTTGTACGATGCAGCCGTCGTGTCAGGTCTTGTGCAGTCACACAGTTTTTTTTTTTCTTTGCTGCTTGTTAATTAGGTTTCTTAAGGCCTAAACCAATTACAGATGAGCCTTACCTTGTAAACAGAAGTCACATGACTGCAAAGGAAGATTCTTCATTGGACTTTAGATTTTTGGCAACGGATCCTCCTGGAAGATTAAAGATTGTGGCAGGTGGAGGAATGAAAACAAATCTGATCTGAGTGGTTTGACTTAAGATAAGCCTCATAAGCTTTGTCACCTGTTTAGCTTCCCTTGTCTTCATATCAGATTAAAAACAGGAGAAATGGATGAATGTGACGCTCCAGATGGTTCTGTCGACGTTTCAGTTCAAGTTCTTACTATGAACGTTGATTTAAAGTATATTTTGTGTTAAAAGTTGGTGATGAATTGACAGATTTTCAACTTTGCAACAGTCCTTGAACTAATCAAGCGTGACTTTCAGATTTGTCGGCAAAACGGCTAAATCAAAGTTTAAAATCATGATATTGCAGCAAATTCAATTCAATTCAATTTTATTTGTACAGCGCATATTTACAACAACAAGTCATCTCATAGCGCTTAACAAAGGCAGAGACAGAAACACCCAACAATCCAAAACATTTGGATTCCCTCTAAGCTTCAGCAGTCCGAAAGCACTCCGCAACAGTGGGAAGGAACCGAAAACCCCCACAGGGGAAAAAAAGCCTCCGACAAAACCAGGCTCAGGGAGGGACGGCCATCTGCCTCGACCGGTTGGGTGGATGTAGGATGAATTATACAATGTAGTTTACAGTTAAACAAGTTATTAGAAGTTATTGTCCTTTTGTAACAGGAGGCATCATGGTGGGGGCAGCAGGATACAGAAGGTGAGGCCAGCGGCTGTAATTCAGGAGCTCCAGATCCAGAGACATCCACAGAGAGAGCAGGCGCAGGAGAACCTCGGGGGGAGTCACAGTGTTAGTCATATGTAATGGTGATAGGCAACTATAGAAACATATACATACATACACACACACATGTATATATGAGGAGAGGAGAGGAGAGGAGAGGAGAGGAGCCCTGTGCATCATGGGAATCCCCCGGCAGTCTAAGCCTATAGCAGCATCACTAAGGGACAGCTCAGATGACTCCGAGCAGCCCTAACTATGAGCTTTATCAAAAAGGAACGTTTTTAACCTAATCTTAAAGGTAGAGAGGGTGTCCGCCTCCCGAACCCAAACAGGGAGCTGATTCCATAAGACAGGAGCCTGATAACTGAAGGCTTTGCCTCCCATTCTGCTTCTAGAAACTCTGGGAACCACCAGTAGACCTGCAGTCTGAGAGCGAAGGGCTCTGTTAGGATAATATGGAACAATAAGGTCTTTAAGATACGATGGCGCTTGATCATTAAGACTTTTATATGTTAGAAGCAGGATTTTAAATTGGATCCTTGAATCCTTGCAAACTCGTCTAAATGTCATTTAAAAGCTCACCAACACTAACCTGATTCTGTAAAAAAAGAAAAAATTCTGTGCTGCCTTGTGAAACCGTAAAGCCATGGTGACTCGGCTACAACCAACAGTCAAATGACAAAAACTCAGTGACTCACCAACGGAATTAGGCTGAACTGCAGGCTGTGTTTGAACAAAGCAGATAGGAAACAACGATGAAAACAAATTTAAAAAAATGTAAGTAGTGAAATATCTGTAGTATGTAGAGGTTTAACATTTAATGTTTACTCACCTCGTGATTGTTTGTTGGTTGAGCAGGTGGAATAGAACTTTTTCCAACTTAACCCTAACCTTTTTTATTAATTCTGGAAATAATCTAGTCGGTTATCAAATTTATTTATCACACACAACTTGCAGGGAAAAGGACTTTTGTGACTCTTCATTGCAATTCAGTCCTCAAAGTGCAGGGTAATGGCTATAAAAAAAATGCAGTGAAATACTAGATAGAATTTGCATAAGAGTAGAACAGATAATAGAAGCTATGAAAGACATCAAAATATAAAGGAAAGGTTTCTAAAAGTTATGTGGCAGCAACACAGTGGGATGTGTTGTAATACACTGTAGATATTTTTGATTATACTCTGAATTCTTATAGCACAATGAAGATGTACTTCTAAAAATGTCATGAAAGTGGAAAATAAAATGACATAAAATATAAGGAATTTTCGGAAAAAGCATTAATCAAAAGCCCAAGTTGAGACTTTCAAGGTGCTTTTTTTTTTTAGTAAAGTGAAAGTTACGAATCCCCGAATGCCAGAGGCGGCGCTTTAAGCGCTGAATATTCCCCTTCACGCATGCACAGTTTGAATATGAATACCAACAATGTCACCTGTGACACCTGGATGACCCCGGGGGAGACTATAACTTCTGGTGTCATCAGGGTATCTGTTCCTACAGAAGCTTCTCGCGAGAACACGAGGATTCTGAGTGATAGAGTGCTCTGGCGGTCATTCGGGATTCATAGAACCGTAATTACATTCGTAACTTTCATTCTAGTTCATCCCTGCTGACTGCCAGAGGCGGTGCTTCAAGCACTGAATGACTTACATCAGCAAACTCACGAGGAATCCTGATTACAAACCTGAATGAGTAGAATCAGAGGTCTCCGGCAACAGAACCACACCCAGTAGATGGGGAGTAGCAACATTTACCCTGTAAAACCTTGAGAAGGTTCCTGATGAGGCCCATGAAGCCGCAGTACAAATATCTTCTGGGGGTGCTCCTCTCAGGGCAGCCCATGACGTAGAGACACTCCTGGTGGAGTGGCATTTCACGCCTGATGACAAAGAACGGTTACTTGCCTCATATACATGGCGAATGACGTCCACAATCCAGTGGGACAGGCACTGTTTGGAGAGAGCACAACCTTTCTTAGGACCACTAAAACTGAGCAAGAGCTGTTCTGACCGCCGAACGCATGCTGAAGCTGTGATATAAACTCTTAGGGCCCACACTGGGCACAACAGTTCTGACTTGTCCCCCCTCTCTCCTGGTGGGGGGTTAAACTGTTCAAGCTGTATAGGCTGGTTGAGGTGCGAGTGTTATATTTTATGCAAGACTGCGTCATTTTGTCATTATGTTCCTCCACCTTAGGGAGGAACGCTGTATTCGGCCATAGAGTTACACCTGAACCATCTGAATTCCACCTCAGACACGAGTCACTGAGAGAAAGGGCGTGCAGCTCACTGACGTGTTTTGCCAAGGTAATGGCCAGGAGGAACGCAGTCTTGCATGACACCCACTTCAGCTCTGCTTGTGCCTAGAGCCTCCAGCGGCAGAGGAAGGTCCCATGATGGAGCTCTTGGAGCTCTCGAGGGATACAACCTCTGAGCTCCCCTGAGGAAGAGGGACACCAGACTGTGGGTCCCTACTGTGCCATGATCGACTCTAGCATGTCTAGCTGATATCACTGCCATGTACACCTTCAGGGTAGAAGGAGACCGACCTTTGTCCAGAAGGAACTGCAGGAACTCCAGAATAGTAGGCACAGAGCAATGCACTGGATTTGCACTCTGGCCCTCACACCATTCAGAAAATAATTTCCACCTGTTGTCATACTGCAGCCGAGTAGATGAAGCTCTGGCATTCAAGATGGTATGCCTGACAGGGTCCACACAGCTGCTCAGCAGCAGTTCAGGCCGTCCAACAGCCAAACGCACAGTTGGAGGCGTTGAGGATTGGGATGCCAAATCTGACCTCCTAGTTGTGACAGTAGGTCTTTTCTGTCAGGGAGTTGCCATGGCAGAGTCTGTGCAGGAGGGGAAATCATGTCCTCGCTGGCCAGAAGGGGGCCACCAGCAGAATCTTGTGACCCTTGTGAAGAACTCTCTGAAGTGTTGAACGAATCAGTGGCAGTGGTGGAGAGGTGTATAGAGACACTCCAGCCAGGGGTGGGCCACTGCATCCTGGCGTAGAGGGCTGGTCATTTCCGCCAAGGAAAACCAAAGGGGACAGTGGGTTGACACCTCTGACGCAAAGAGGTCAACCTCTGTTCTGCCAAAGAGGCTCCAGATGGTGCGCACGACCTTTGGGTGGAGGCGCCACTCTTCTGGTGGAGGCTTGTGACGGGAGAGGAAGTCTGCCAGATGGTTTCGCTCCCCCGGTAGATACATTGCCCGCAGGCTGACAAGGCACGGGGCTGCCCACGTCAGAAGGTCCTTGCTCACCTGCAGCAGCCGTGCAGACTTGGTCCTGCCCTGGTGGTTGATGTGGTATATGGTTGAGGTGTTGTCTGATCGAATGAGCACGTTTCCCTCTCAGGTATGGCAGGAAATGCTTTTGAGAGCGAGATGCACTGCTTGCAGCTCCAGCACATTGATATGTTCGGAGCAGTCTTTCACGAAGCGCTGCCTGTGGGCCGTCCTGCTCTGCCACACTGCACCCCATCCCAGGGGGCATGCATCTGTGGTGACAGCCTCTCTGCAGGATGGAACTGATCCCACAGGGACGCCTTTTAACATGTAGGCCCTGTCCCTCCATGGAGCCAGCGAGAAGGCACTGCTGCGACACCTTGATCCTCCAGTGCCTGTGCTGCTTGACATCCAAGTGGAAGCTGTTCAGCCACCTCTGTAGTGGGCGTAGCGACAGCAAGCCCAGTGGAACAACAGCTGTGACAGATGTTAGTTTGTCCAAGAGACGAAGGAATGTAGTATAGGGCACCAACTTGCCACTTCGGAAGAGGGTTAGAAGGTGTAGGATATCGTCCATGCGTTGTGGGGATGGACAGGCCCTCATAGTTGTGGTGTCCAAGGCCACGCCGATGAACATTGTGGACTGAGAAGGTTCCAGGCAACTCTTCCCCAGATATACCTTGAGGTCTAATTGAGCCACATGGGAGAGGAGACATGCTGTGTCCTGGGCCACCTGAGCCTGAGACAGTGCACAGATCAGCCAGTCGTCAAGGTACGGCAGAACCTTCATGCCTCAAGCCTGCAAGGGTACAAGAGCTGCCGCCACACACCTCGTGAACACCCTTGGGAAGCAGGAGAGCCCGAATGGTAGCACCCTGAACTGCCAGTGGTGGCCTCGATGGGCAAAGCGTAGAAACTGCCTGTGTTGATGAGCAATGGAGACATGAAAGTAGGCATCCTTCATGTCTACAGATGTGAACCATTCCCCTTGGGAAACAGTTCGCAGAACTTCTGCCGTGGTCAACATATGGAAAGGCATGATTTTCATGAATTTGTTCGATCCCCTTAGGTCCAAGACTGGACGGAATCCGCCGGTCTTTTTTGTAACGAAGAAGTATGTTGAGTAGAACCCTGTGGGGTGCAACAGAGGATCTACAGCCTCAATGGCGCCTTTGGCCAGGAGGGCGGACAACTCCTGGTCCAGCGCTAGAGCATTTGCCGGATCTCTGATAACGGTCATTTTGACCCCGCCAGAGGTTGGGGGCCGGCGTCGGAATTGAAGCTTGTACCCGTGGGTTAAGGTGGCAACCACCCAGGGGTCCGAAGCGTGAGCAGTCCAGTAGAGCTGCTAGTGGGAAAAATAATCAACAGCCGTCCCAGAGGCCTCAGTTCCTGGCCCCCCGGCCCCTAGGGGCCCTGGAGGGGCGGACAGGATCTGGGGCCCGAGGTTGCCTGGAAGGTAAGCGGGCAGAACCACGAAAGTCACGGGTCAGCCTCTGAACGAGACGCTGAGGACCACAACGGTTGCTGTAGAGAGCTGGTGGTGGTAAGCGGGCTCGGGGGGCAATTGAGGGGCCCCCAGACCTGTTGGAGGGAGGCATACTTCTATGCAGACCCAGGAGCTGCTGCCTGGTCTGCCCAGCTTGGATAGTTCGCTCCAGCACTTCCAGCGCAGCTGACCCAAATAGCTCCCCTGGTTCCGCTGAGAGGCTACGGAGAGTCCTCCTACTTGCCTCTGTCAGATTTGCCTGCGCAAGCCATACCTGGCGGCGAGCCTGGACCAAGATGGACGTCATCCTCCTAAGTTCTCTGGTTATGAGGCCAAATGCATACAACGATGCGTGACTGAGGCTTCTGGGGGCAACATACACACTGTCTTCCTGCAGAGAAGCTGAGAGGGCCAGCATGATGTGGGATAGGGAGTTACCAATACGACCAGCCCACGTTCCAGCATCATAAGCCCTTGTAAGCAGGTCATCTGTGACCGAGGTGAGGGGCACCTGGCGTTCTGACGCAGAGCCTCATCAGGAGACACAATTAGGGATGCGATGGCAGGCTCAATAGCAGGCATGTGGCCCAGGCCAACTCTCGCTGCATCATGCATGACTGCCAGGGCTCATCCATCAACTTGCAGCTGGGAACAAGCCTTACTGTCTCTCCAAGCAGCGTGGAACACATTCAAGTAGTCCACTCAGTGAGGAACTGGAAAGGCAGAGGGGGCAGGCCTGTGCCTAAAGAGGGCACTTGCATGAGCCGATTCCACCTGCTGTGGTATGTGCAGCCCCAGGCAATACAGGGCCATGCGCATAGTGGCCCTCCAAGGAAGTATCAGAGCGGTGGGCCATGAACATGGATCTTATCTGGGCCAACTCCACAGAATGCTGATCCACCTTTGAAGAAAGTCTGCTGTGATCCGACTTCACCTTTTTCCTGGAGGGGGCAGCAGCAGCTTCTGCCCGATGCTTAGAGTGTTTAAGTTGGGGTTGGAGCAATTAGCCTGGTGGGGGGAGGTCCCCTTCACCCCTTGGAGGTTCAAATTCTGCCAGTCTAGCAGTTCTCACTGCTCGCGGCATGTAGCTGCAATTCATACATAGGTTATCAGAGAGTGCCTCTCTCAGGTGCTCAAGACCAAGGCATGTGGGGCAGAGATCGTGGCCATCTTCAGGCTGGAGAGGAGCCTCACAGGGTGTACAATGGTGGGGGTTATCCATCGTGGTGGCACGAGAGGAGAACTGCCACCCTGGCAAACTACACCACTTTAAGTTAGCCCAGAGCGGACGCTAAGGACCATATGCTGGGGGAAGGGAGCGAGAACACTACCTGCCCATCAGAGGTCAGTCACAAAGTTAACACAACTCAGTTAGCCGGAGCACAACACTGCTGCTAACTTCATTCACTTAATGCTGGAGGGAGGGAGCGAGTGTGCTGTCTGTGCCAGCAGAGTTAAGACAAAATACTATCTCAATCAGCAAGAACGTAACACTACACCATATGCTGAAGGGAGGGAGCGAGCACACTGCCTGTACCAGCGAAGGTTCATCAAAAGAAAAACAATTGATCAGTCAATACAGATCTCAAATGAACTGAAAGAGACTTACTCTACTTCTTTCTTTCTTTCTTTCTTTTTTTTTTTTTTACCCAATGGGTTATCCAGTTGAAGAGCGTTAACATGAAACGGGATCGTATGCTGCAGGGAGGTCGCGTGCACGCAACGCAGCCTTTGCAAGCATAGATCAATTATGTTAAACGAACAACATGCAATAATAAATAACATAACAAATGCCGGAAGGATGGGGCATAAACACAGCCATCACCGACAAAGTGTGCACCAACAATATAAATTATTATCAGTAATACAGCCACTTACCTTCTGTCCGAAGAAGGAAGCGACATCGCTGTCTTACCACGCGAGACGCCACGGCGTGCAGGCGATTATAAACAAACTTAACACCTCACATAAGAGGGGAAAACCATCTGTCGTGGCTCCTGGGGGGCAAAAAGTCCGCTGCCCCAACCAACAAAGCGACGGGACGTAGTTAAGCTTTTAGTAACGCAGCTTTGGATAACGCTATCAGAGCAATAGTGATCTGCGCGAGCGAGAAGATGAAAAGGAACAGATCCTCTGATGACACCAGAAGATATAGTCTCCCCTGGGGTCATCCAGGTGTCACAGGTGACATTGTTGGTATTCATACTCGAACTGCGCATGCGAGAAGGGGAATATTCAGTGCTTAAAGCACTGCCTCTGGCGGTCAACAGGGATGAAATAGAACCCCAAAATATGAGTTACTACTATAGTGGAATAAGAAAACCAGCAGCAGATATTGGCATGTATTCATCAGTTTTATGTGGTATTCATTTTGTGTTACTGTAAATGTGTGTGTGGGTGTTGACTGACGGAGAAATGCTTTAGAGATTAAATAAATTACTATAAATAGGTTCACTGTAGGAGAGTCAGTATCTTGCAGTGTGCAGAGGCCTGTTTAGGCTCAGATTCATCATTATTCCATTGCTTCTAGTGACCGTGGCCTCCTCAAACCTTTTCTCTCCATCTATTAGTTCTTCCAGCTGGAGGTTTACAACAGCGACGGCTCACGGATGACAGAGAGTCAGATCCACGCTCAGCTGCTGAGAATCCGATCTCAGTCCTGGAAGACGGATAAGGAGCCGATGGGCATCCTGACCAGCGAGCACCGGCACACCTGGGGAGAAGCCTACAACCGCCTGCTCAGAGGTACATCACAGGACCACATACACACCTTTAAAATGGATCTATGGAGCATCTACCACTAAACTGTTAGAATATAGCACATTATATTGGCGGACAGAGTGAAGCTGTGAGTGACTTAGCAGCGTTTTTCCCTCATCTACACCGCTTATACCAGGTGTCAACAAACACCAAATAAAAATATCAAAACTGGAAACTCCCGGCAACAAGTATATTCAGGAGCTGGAATCAGACATCATACATTGATTCACTTTTCAACGCGATGTCACCAGAAAGCAAACACGGAAGACAAGAGCTGAGCTCAAGTGACACCGACCCAGAAGGATCTCTATCCCTGGAAATGCGCCAAATGTGACAGGCTATGGAATCAGTGCAACAACAACTTAAGAAACTGGACCTACTAAATACACTAATGAAAGAGGTCAGTGACCTCAAGCAATCACTGGACTATCACATCGCTTTAGTCGACATCCTGAAAGAAGACAACGCATCACTACGCTCTGATGTAAACGATCTCAAAACTCTTGACAGCCCACCTACAACAAAACTCTTGTGACGCCCAAAATCATATTCTCGATTTCCAATGCAGAAGCATGAGAGATAATTTCATCTGTTTACCAGAACAGCAAAGAGAAACTTACCAAATCTCAGAACAACTTGTCAAATCACTTCTGAAAACTAACCTCAAGATGGAAGAAGATGTGGTTCGGCAAATCCACTTTCCCCATTTTCGCCAAAGTTCTGGATCCGAGGTACAAGCCCATCATCATGGCGAAGGCCAAGGAGCTCAAGGGGACAGGACTTACCCTGAGTGACCAGTTTCCACCAGAGGTCATGCGCACACTTCTCCAACTGGTGCTAGCCGAAGCAAGATCCGCAATGGCCAACTCTACCGCAACTCAAAGATAACTGACTGGCTTACTGGTGGAGACGAACTACGCACAAACCCACGCCACGAACGCAAGGTAAACATTGTCCGACACTGATGACGTCATCAGAGCTATACAAATCTCTGAACTTAACCTGCCATCACAGAAATTAAAATTTGGAGCTAATTTAAACAATCTGAACTAAAAGTTCAATTGCCATTGTATTCCGTGATATTAATTATTTTCTAATATTTCCATCAACATTATTATTTTGTTTGATGATCATGTTTGTTTGCTTTGCTTGTATTTTTTTGCTTGCTTTATTCTTTTTTGACTTTCTTCTCTCTTTATTTTCTCTTCTTTACTTATTTATTTAATTTACTTTAATTTACTTTACTCCCGCATCGACCTAATTTTAAACAGCAACTCTATTATGTCACAACTATCAGATCAAGAAATCCATCCCATCACAATTAGTGACCATGCTCCAATATCCATTACCTGGAATCATTCACATCAACTTAAACAAAACTTAACAAATCAGTTAAGGTGCTTCAACACATCACTCTTAACTGATCCAAATTTTGATAGCCTCATAAGGAGAGAGTGGGCATCCTTTATTGAAGTGAATGACTCCCCAGGATCATCGCCTTCTCTCCTATGGCAAACAGGAAAGGCAGTTCTAACCGGTCATATCATCAACTACTCTGTACACAAATCTAGAAAAGAAAAAGAACAGAAACATAATTTGGAACAAGAAATAAAAGCATTGGAAGAAAAAAACATGGTAAACCCCACAGTTAATCTGGAAATTGAAATAAGAAAACTCAAATTGAATTTGGATGAAATTATAAACAAACAAACTCAATTCCTCATACACAGACTAAGAAAAGAACATTTTCATCATAACAACAAATCAAGTAGGCATCTGGCAAACCAAATCAAATTAAACCAGGAAAATCATCAATTCCAGTCATCAAGAACTCAGCAGGTAAGCCCACACCATCACATAAAGAAATAAGTGAGACCTTCCGAAAGTTCGACAGTACACTCTACTCCTCCGAAACGCAACTGAACCAAGAACACATCAATACATTCCTCAAAAACATTAAGCTACCAACCTTGACACCAAACCAAATTTCAAAACTGGAAACAACAATCACTGAAGCAGAACTAAGCGCCTCCCTGAAAAGTATGCCCAATAACAAATCCCCCGAGCCTGATGGCTTCCCTGCTGAGTTCTACAAACATTTCTGGTCTATACTATCCCCCCTATTCATGCACATGATAGAAGAATCTCAAAAAAAATCCCCATTTACATGAACTCAGCAACAATATCCTTCATTCTAAAACCCAATAAAGACCCAATACTACCCTCAAGCTACAGGCCTATTTCTCTCATCTATGTTGATACAAAAATCTTAGCCAAAACACTTGCCCATTGTTTGGAAAAAGTAATACCCACCATCATCCAGCCTGATCAGACAGGCTTTGTCAAAGGAAGAAATGCATCCACCAATACCCAGACTTTTTAATCTTATTCATTTGTCTTCATTACATCAAGAAAAAAACCATAATAGCATCTTCAGACGCGAAAAAAGCATTTGACAGGGTTGATTGGACCTTCTTGTTTGCGACGCTTGCAAGGTTTGGCTTTGGGGAGTCATTCACCAACTGGATAAAAATTCTATATACCTCACCTACTGCTACTATCACCACAAATGGTCTCACATCATCGCTGTACCGTGGGAACCACCAGGGATGCCCACTCTCACCTCTATTATTCTTGATTTTCATTGAACCACTCGCTGAGGCGATCTGTCAAAACAATCAAATTCAGGAATTAAAACACAAAATATTGACCACAAAATCAGCCTTTATGCAGATGATATCCTCCTCTTCTTACAAGACCCATCTTTACTTCACACTATTAGCTTCATCAAATCTTTCTCTAGCCTTTCACAATATTCGATCAACTGGGATAAATCATCAATACTACCTTTACAATCCAACAGTTGGGATGTGACTGCCATAGACCCCCCAGTTCAGCTCTCTACTAACATCACCTACCTGGGAATTAAGATCTCTCCCAGGCTGTCAGAGCCATTTACACTCAACTTCTCTCCATTACTTAAAGAAATACAAGATCAATTACTCCGATGGACTAACCTCCCATTCAAATCACAGGCAGAATTTCCATTGTCAAAATGTCTATCCTTCGAATAGGACTTCCGGACTGAATAATGGCGGAGTAGGCAGCAACCGGGAGAGCTCTGTCGAAATCCTTCTGAGATAGATCCGAAACATTTGCTAGACACGGTTTAGCCTTGTCCCACATATTTGCAAAGATGGGAAAGCTGAGCAAGAAACCACCTCAGGCCTCGAAAGAACCGGAGGAGGACGAAAATCCTCTCGCTAGCCAAAAGACAACATACACTGCTAACAACCTAGCGCCATCATTGACTCGAGCCGACATGGAGGCGATGCTCCTCAAATCGGAAGAACGAATCATCTCAACTTTAGCAGCACAGTTCTCAGCAGATAGAGCACGGATAGACAGACATGACCAGGCAATTCAGGATATTGAAATATCAATGAACAATATGCAAAGCCGATTAAAGGAGCTGGAGAACACATGCGCCTCGCTGAAAAAGGAAAACGAGGTACTCAAGCTTAAAACCGACGTACTAGAGAACCGCTTGAGACGCAATAATATGAGAATAACCAACCTGCCAGAAAGAGCCGAGGGTTCATGTCCAACATCCTTCCTTGCCAGTGTCTTAAAGAAGTCTTCGGTCCTTACGCATTTCCCACTCCGCTGGCTGTGGACTGGGCGCACCGCATCAATGTCCGCAGACGGAATCAGGATACTCCCCGCCCGTTTATTGCCAGGATTCATCAGTACCAAAACAAGGAACTCCTTCTGAAGCTCGCACGGGAAAAAGGTCGACTCGTCTATCGTGGACTAGAGATTCATATTTTCCCGGACTAAAACTGCTCTCCGAGGTCAAGTTTCAGCTCAGATCTGCGGGATACTCGTACAGAATCTTTTTTCCTGCCAAACTTCAGGTGATGGACAAACACGGACAGAGGATCACTTTCTCCACCCCAGAGAATGTGAAGTCGTTCCTTGCCGGTGCTGGAGACGAGCCATAAACTCTCTACTGTTGCCATTTCAAGCCGTAGCTCGGTGAGTCCTGTGCCGGCGTAGTGCTCACCCTGCTTCGCCTCCTTACAGAGGTGGCCTCACTGGAGCTGCATCCAAATCTCCCCACAGACGAACTAAAGGATGTTGCTTTTTCCACAAATAACAAATGTTCTGGGATATCAGACCTAGTTTTCTTTTCGACTGTTATCACTTCTTCCTCTATTTATCCAAACTACTAATTTTTGCACTATGTTCAGCTAAACTTCTCTTTCCTTTCATTATGGGCAAAGACTTTCTTCACCAAATGTTGGGGCAACTGGGGCGGGACTGCTTTGTGTCTCACTATATAAGCGATTTGAGTTACACTTCAGTTCATTTATTCATGTTCACAACAGAGTTCAAGAAAAGGTTTAGTACTGGTAGGGTTCACTACGGACTACACAAGTTTTCAGGATCATTTTTCATGTCAACATGCAGTATTGCAACATGTTTTTTTTGTTGTTGTTTATTTGTTTTGCCTTTTGTGATTTGTTTCTGTTTGTTTTGTTATTGTTATTATTACTCTCATCCAGTGCTTTTGTTCTCAGGACATTCAGTCTTCCACATTTATACAACTGCATTACTACTCTGATTCCAGGTCACTATGGGATCGTAACGATCATCATCGTTACATGGCAGATTTAAATAGACAAAACAAAAATCATAGCATCACTTTTGTCTCTTTAAATGTAAAAGGAGTCAATAATACGGTGAAAAGACAAAAAATAGACAATTATCATCGACAATTAAAAGTGGACATTGCTATCCTCCAGGAGATGCATCTACAACAGGGTCAGATAAAACTTCTTAAACGAGATTGGGGCGGTAAGGTTTTCCACTCAAACTTTAATGCTAAGGCCGGAGGTGCTGCGATTTTGGTGCAGAAAGACATACCCTTCCAGTCAGAAGAAACAATCACAGCAAGGGCTGTCACAGCAGGGCGCTATGTAATAGTTAAGGGTCACATGTTTTTGTTTTTTTTAAGATTTATTTTTGGGCTTTTCCACCTTTTATGATAGTTGAAAGTGAAAGATAGACAGAGAAACGTGGGGAGGAGAGTGAGGGAATGACATGCAGCAAATGAGCCGCTGGCTGGAATCGAACCTGGGCCGCTGCATCGGGGACTATAGCCCCTGTATATGGGTCTCCTGCCCTACCCGCTGAGCTATCCAGGTGCCCCAGGGTCACATGTTTTTTACTCCTGTTATTTTATTATCAGTATATGCTCCTAGCTGGGACAACAAATATTTTTTCACAAAGCTTTTCACTATTTTGCCCAGTCATAACAATTACAACATTATAATAGGTGGTGACTTCAACTATGCTCTTAACTCTAACCTTGATAGGTCCTCCAACAAACCACAGGCCCTGTCTAATAGTGCTAATGTTGTTAAGAATTTTATGAACCCGTCTGGTTTATCTGACATATGGAGGTTTCATTTCCAAAAAAGTATTTTCATTTTTCTCCAATGTCCATCATACATATACGTGTATGGACTACTTTTTAATAGACAATAAATTTCTTGAAAATACCCACTCATGCACATATCATAGTATAACTGTGTCAGACCATGCTGCTGTTTCTTTTGTTCTGGAACTGCCTGACTGTCCCAAACCTAAGCGCAACTGGAGATTCAATACTCTTCTCCTGTCGGATGAGGACTTTAACAAAGTTTTGCAATCAGAAATAGACTTCTTCCTTGACACCAACAGCTCCCCAGAGATCAGTTACTCACTCCTGTGGGAAACTCTCAAGTTATATCTGCGGGGCCAGATTATTGCCGACTGCTCAAAAACAAATAGAGCCAAAAACACAAAGCTTAATGATCTATCACGCTCAATTGCAGAGATCGATGAGCAAGACTCATCTTCTCCATCACCATCTCTGCTTAAAGAAAAATTGTGGCTGCAGACGGAATATGACTTACTGGCTACAGATAAAGCTACGCAGTTAATACTAAAGGCAAGCCATAACAGCTGTGAGTATGGGGATAAAGCGAGTAAACTCCTTGCTCATCAAATTTGTCAAAAATCTGCTTCTCGCCTAATTACTAAAATAGAAGACAGTGCAGGTAATATAGTAATAAATCACAAAGAAATAAATTACATCTTACACAAAACTGTACACATCTGAAAGTCAGAGCAATATCTCCCAAAAAAATACAATATCTCCCAAAAAAATAATTTCCTTGATAAATTGTCCTTTCCCATCATCCCCCTTGAAAATTTGCCTGCACTTGATGCTGAGATATCCATAATAGAAATCAAAGAAGCAATTAAATCATTGAGGTCAAACAAAACACCCAGCCCAAATGGATTTGGTGCAGAATTCTACAAGAAATTTGTGGATCGGCTTTCTCCTCTTTTACAGGCACTTTTTAATGAATTATTATCAGCCGGTGCTCTCCCTCCAACATCATGCCAGGCTGCAATCACAGTCTTGCTAAAAAAAAGATAAAAATCCTCTCCATTGCAGTTCTTATCGCCCAATCTCTCTACTTAATGTAGATTATAAAATATTGGCAAAAATTCTGGCTTGTAGATTGGAGAGGGTTCTGCCGCAAATAATCTCGTCTGACCAAACAGGCTTTATTAAGGGAAGAAGTTCCATGGCCAATAAAAGAAGATAAATATTGTAAATACTCCGCCCAGTCTAAGCACTGAAATTATCTTATCTCCTGATGCAGAGAAAGCTTTTGACCATGTGGAGTGGCAATTTTTATTTATTACACTCCGAAAATTTAGCTTTAGAGATGGTTTCATTTCATGGATAAAGTTACTCTACTCGAACCCGGTTGCAACAGTTATAACTAATGGGCAGCAGTCTCAGTACTTTTCTCTCGGTAGAGGCACCCCCAAGGATGCCTGCTGTCCCCGCTCCTTTTTGCGGTTGTTATAGAGCCTTTGGCCATCGCCCTCAGGCAGACCGATAGCTTCCGGGGCATAGAGCGGGGCAGCTCACATCATAAGCTGTCTTTGTCTGACCCAAAATCTACTCTCCCTTTTATTATCAACTTGCTGAAACAATTTGGGAAGCTCTCGGGATATAAAATCAACCTGAAAAAAAGCTTGCTGTTCCCTCTGAAACAAGAAGACCCCACCGGTTCTCTTGACATATTCCCATTTAAAATAGCCAAAGGCTCTTTTAAATATCTTGGAGTAGAAGTGACACATAATTTGTCATCACTTTTCACCAAAAACTTCACTATCCTCTTAGTGAAATGTAAACTAGATTTTGACCAATGGAAAGACCTTCCTTTATCTGTTGCAGGAAGGGTCAATATAAGCAAAATGATTGTATTACCAAAATTCTCTTACCTTTTTCAAAACATTCCCATTTTTACAAGAAAATCCTTCTTTAGTTCACTTGACAAGCTTATTGCCACTTTTATCTGGAAAGGAGGGTCACACAGAATAAAAGGATCTGCTCTGCAGCGACAAAAACATAGGGCTGGACTAGCACTTCCGAACTTTATTTACTAAATTGGGCCTGTAATATACAAAAATTCTTCACCACTCTCATTGCAAGGAGAAGCATCCTGCTTAATTGGAAACGGCAATCTCCACATAGCTCGACACAGATAGCACAGCAGATACATCCTGGTCCACATTTACCACCTTCTTACAGTCATGAAAAACACCATGATTCACTGTTCTCTTATACTTTATTTACTTATTCTCTGACTCATTTATCCCCTCCTCTCTTCTCTCTTATCAAAAAAAAAAAGAGAAGAGACACGTAGAGACAGACAACCAAGCACACTCACATTCACACCTTCGGACAATTTAGAATCACCAGTTAACCTCAACATATTTTTGAACTGTGTGGGAGGAAGCCGGAGAACCTGCAGAGAACCCACGCTGCACGGGGAGAACAACAAACTCCACGCAGAAAGATCCCGATGCTCCCACCGGGGCGCGAATTCCCACTGACAGACAATCAAAATGAATGTAACAGAAAGTCGCCATATACCAGAGTCTAGTGGCCTACGGGTCTGCAGGGTAGACGGGACCAAAGCCGCAGACCGGTAAAGCGGTCTGCAGCGTTGAATGGGGTAAAAGCCGCAGACCGGTATAGCAGGCTATAGTGTTGAAAAGGTTAAATCTTGTAATGAAGGTTCTTCTTTTCTGGTGTTTAATGCAGCTTGTGAGTGCAGAATTTTTAAATTCAGTCTCAGATGTCAGTGTTTCTTTCTGTCAAACTCCCATTGACTGATGCGTAACTAAAGTTGTTGTATGATTGGAAGCCTGTGCACTGTCAAGGTCCACATCAGTTAGTTCATGTAGCGTCAGAAAACATGAATTGACCTTTAGCATTAATCCTTTGAAGTCCAAAGCCTGCTAGTGGGTTTGAAAGCTCTGTTGTCTGTTGTAAAATCACCAAAATTACACCATCAGAGCCACAAACTGAAACAGCTTTTCTCCATGTCTCATTTAGAAAGTCGATCTATGTTTCTATCTTCAGCTAAGCCTCAGGGACAAAAAACATTTACGTACCTCAGGTTTAAATTGAATGTCTTGTTTTTTTTATGCAAAGTCTTTATCTGGAAAGTAGCTAAAACTTTTCAAATGTATGTAGTGAAGTAGAAAGTAGCATAAAAAAATTCAAATACTTAAGCTACTTAAGAATTATTCAAAGTGTGTGCCTATAAGTAAAAAGTATCTAAATAATAAATAGGTGTGTTTCGAACCAAAGAAAATCCAGATCTAACGTCTTTATTACATATGTAGTAAGTAGCTTTCATGTCTGCATTAGTTGTGTGCCACTAAAAGGAGAATTTTATGTAAGAGATAAGTGACTAAATTTAATCTTAAGCTACTAAAATACTCTTTTCTGTCTCTTTCCGTCGTCTCTGTGTGACTCAGATCAACTTAACCAGGAATCAGTGCGGCTGATTGAGACGGGACTTTTCTCTTTGTGTCTGGATTCTCCGGTCATGAGGATATCAGATGAGAAGTATGTACACACACACACACACACACACACACAGAAACTCAGGTGTTGCTGTGTTTGCTCGGTGTGTTGAGAAATCCTCTGTTCAGATAGGATTGTGTCATCTGTTGACATTTGGTAACAGCCTGTGATTGTCATTTCCTCCATGTAAACTGTTGATTTTTGTTGGCAGATTTGTATGTAGAATTTGAAACGCATGTACAGTTTAATCTCTGAGATCTTTAATAATCAGTTTATTTACTAGTCTGATGTTCTTCTGACTCTGATTGACAGATACGCCAGCCGTAAAGCAGCGCAGATTCTCCATGGGGGCGGGACGTTCTCCAACAGTGGGAACCGCTGGTTTGACAAAACGCTGCAGGTGAGAATGATCACATTTGAGCAGTGATGGTTAGTTTGACAGCAGACTGAATCTTATTTGTGTTTGAACAGTTTGTGGTGGGCGAGGACGGATCCTGGGGTCTTCTGTATGAACAAGCCACAGCTGAGGGTCCACCCATCGCAACACTGCTGCATCACATCCTGGAGTACTGGTGAGGGTTAATGACGAGACACGATCACATCCACTGTGGCGACTGTGTTAGGTTTAGGGTGAGTTTGACAAACAAAATCAGTCAGTCACGCTGGTTCCTGCTGTAAAACAGTCCGAGCCAATCAAGAGAAAAGTAGGCTGATGATTAGCTAATTAACTAATGGGAGCCAGTGTTCATTCCAGTTAATATAACAGAAAGAAAATAGAGATATTTCTTGTTTACATTGTCATAGCAGATGATGTACCATGTAGAAACAATGTGGGTGTGTTGTATCTACAGAATTGCCAAGATTACACCATTTATCAGAGACAGAAACTGTAAAAACAGAAATAATAGTTGGACTGTGAACTTTGCCTGAACTGCTCATCTGTGATGTACTGTTCAGTTTGGAAACTTAACCAAATCTAAGACTAAAATCATGATATTTCCTTATAATCACTGATTTAAAAATGTGGAAAAATTATAGCATTTGCACAGAAATTTGACATTAATGACTCAGCCGTGAGTGACCAACAGTCACATGATACTATTTGGTTGAACTGCAGGCTGTGTTTTCACAGAGCAGAGAGGAGAGAAGTTACAAAAAAAACAAATTCAATATGTGAGTAGTAAAATACCTACAGTGTGTACAGTTACATTTTTCCCCAGCATTGGTAACATCTGGGGACCCAAAATTCTACTTTATATTGACATGAAAAATGAGTCCACAGGGAGTAAAAATGTGACAAAAACAAAAAAAAAAGCTTAGTTCTGAGGGCTACATATATTTTGCTAAAGCCACTCTGTGTCGGAGATGCTTAAGCTGCAACTAAATGTCTCATTGCAGAACAAGTGTGAACACATTTTGCTGAATTGCACAAAATTGCACATCTGGATAATCATTATGTTAAAGTCAATGGGATCCAGATGGAAAATGGCTGAATTTCTGGTTAATATTTATGTTTTGTGACTTCAGCGAGAAACCAGATCCAAAGAGAGCTCCGCTGGTTCCACTGCCGATGCCCAAGAAACTCTACTTCCATATAGACCGAGAAATCAAGAGGGACATAGAACACGCCAAACAGAACCTGGACATGTGAGCTCTACGCTTTCTCTCTTCTCAGGAACAGAGCGGAGCAAGTGTTCAGTTGCGGTGTACGTCATCAACTTGCTGTGAAGTAAAGCCGCGGGAGTAAACACATTTATCTTCTCTGTGTTTATGTAACCTTGATGGAAATAATATGCTCACTGACTTGGCTGCTCTTTAGAATCACTGAGAAGTCTTTTCTTTGTGTGCAGCTCCATCCTGAGCTCAACTCAAACGCACTAAGCCTTCATACAGTGCTGCACAATTAAATAAAAGTCTGAGTGACGAGTGAAGCTTTTCCTTAATGTGCACTGAGGACTTGAACAGGAGAGATGTTAGCTCTGCTTAGAATTACTTCTCTTATTAGGAACTATATTGTCTTTCAGTCTGTTTATGCAGCCGGGTGTCCACAACAGGAGTTATATTTAACAAATACATAAGTAAATCCTAAAATCAGCTTATTATGTTAATGTAGTTTTTATGTAATGTTTCTAAGTCAGCAGTGGGATCAAAACTGCTGTTAAAAATGTAATTTGCATACGCATGTGGACAAAATTGTTGGTACCCCTCGGTTAATTAAAGAAAAATAATAATAAATAAAAATTCAATGAAAATTAACCAATGAAAATCAGACATTGCTTTTGAACCGTGGTTCAACAGAATTATTTAAAAAAATAAACCCATGAAACACAAAAATGATGGTACCCTTAACACTGCACAACCTTTTGAGGCAATCAATCAAACTATTTCTGTAACTGTCAATGAGACTTCTGCACCTCTCAGCAGGTATTTTGGCCCACTCCTCATGAACAGACTGCTCCAGTTGTCTCAGGTTTGAAGGGTGCCTTCTCCAGATGGTTTCAGCTCCTTCCACAGATGTTTAACAGGATTTACATCAGGGCTTATAGACGGCCACTTCAGAATAGTCCAATGTTTTTCTCTTAACCATTCATGGGTGTTTTTAGCTGTGTGTTTTGGGTCACTATCCTGTTGTAAGACCCGTGACCTGCAACTGAGACCAAGCTTTCTGACACTGGGCAGCACATTTCTCTCCAGAATACCTTGATAGTCTTGAGATTTCATTGTACCCTGCACAGATTCAAGACACGCTGTGTCAGATGCAGCAAAACAGCCCCAGAACATAGCAGAGCCTCCTCCATGTTTCACAGTAGGGACAGTGTTCTTTTCTTGATATGCTTCATTTTTTCATCTGTGAACATAGAGCTGGTGTGCCTTGCCAAAAAGTTCCAGTTTTGTCTCGTCTGTCCATAGGACATTCTCCCAGAAACTTTGACTTGTCAACATGCAGTTTGGCAATTTCCAGTCTGGCTTTTTTATGATTTGTTTTCAACAACGGTGTCCTCCTTGGTCGTCTCCCATGAAGTCCACTTTGGCTCAAACAACAACGAATAGTGCGATCTGACACTGATGCACCTTGACCTTGGAGTTCACCTTTAATGTCTTTAGAGGTTGTTCTGGGCTCTTTTGTTACCAATTTGTCATCAATTTTCCTCCTGCGACCACATCCAGGGAGGTTGGCTACAGTCCCATGGATCTTAAATTTCTGAATAATGTGTGCAACTGTAGTCACAGGAACATCAAGCTGCTTGGAGGTGGTCTTATAGCCTTTACCTTTAACATACTTGTCTATAATTTTCTTTCTAATCTCCTGAGACAACTCTCTCCTTCACTTCCTCACGTCCATGTTTAGTGTGGTAAACATCATGTCACTAAACAGCACAGTGACTACTTGTAACCCTATAAATAGGCTGACTGACTGATTACAAGTTTGTAGACACCTGTGATGCTAATTAGAGGACACACCCTGATTGAACATGTCCCTATGGTCACATTATTTTCAATCCTTTCTAGGGGTACCATCATTTTTGTCCTAGCCAGTTTCATGACTTCATTTGTTTTTAATAATTCTGTTGAACCACGGTTCAAAAGCAATGTCTGATTTTCATTGCTTAATTTTCGTAGAATTTTTGTTTGTTATTGCTTTTGTCAGATTCAAGCTATTTCTGTGACCATTGTGGGTTTTTCTTTCATTCACCGAGGGGTACCAAAAATTTTGTCCACATGTGTATATATTTAAAATATTAGATGTATTTAAAATGTCCTTCAATTTACTACATTAGAGTATATTGAGACACATATATGATGATGATTGTAAGCATTAAATTTTCTCGATTTTAAGTGCTACCACATATAGGAACTGTAACATTTATTATTTAAAAAAAGGAAACAGGCTACAAAATTTCATGATCACCATGTTTTTCCAACTGAATGGTATCAAGCAGCTTTATCTGGAGTTTTCTAACATATTTCATGGCCTTCCTCAGTACCCCCTAACTCTGTATATTCATAATCTGATGATCCCTGAACAGAAACCAAAGTTGTATCTCCTAATTTACAGACACGATTTCATCACAACTTTTCTCAGATGAGAAGCACTGTAGAAGCTAATAAGTGAGCCTTGATTTTAGAATTGTTATAAAATGCATGTGACATATCCTGCAGACTGATCAACGACCTCGACGTCAACGTGTTCAACTTCAAGAGGTTTGGCAAAGAGCTTCCCAAGCAGCACAAGATGAGTCCAAACTCCTTCATCCAGGTCGCTCTGCAGCTCACCTACTACAGGTCAGTGTCAGAGACCACAACCTCAGCAGAATTATGGGGCTTTCAGACACAATGCAACACGAGAGACGCTCACTTTCACAGAGGAAAAAGCAAAATAAGTGGAGTTTTCAAGGCTTCTAGCAGCACTACATCAATAAAATGTTCTGTATGAAAATTCTACCTCTTTACCTCATTGCTTTAATTGAGAGACTTTATTGGGTCTTTTGGGGAGGATCTTATTACACACATTATCTACCTACAAGAAGCTACCTGACTGTTGAAACACACCTGACTTGCCTGCTTGGATGGAAACTGTTTCCAAGATATGGGCTGTATTCCAATTTCCATACTACTATGCTATATAATACACTAGAAAAAGATGTAGTATTGCCCAATACATAGTATGTCAAATACAGTATTCCAGTCATACCAAGATGTCCTACTACATTGGGTCAGATGAGAGCCAGATTACTTTTCTGGTCATTCTAACTCATTATCCTTTGCATAGTTACGGTGTCTCATGTGAGTACAAACAAGCTTGAGCACCGATTACATCTCATGTCGCTTTACAGACTATCAAAGTTTAGAGCACAGTATTATGACAAACATCCCAGTTGTAGTCTTCCTGCATGAGACATTGCCGACTTTGTGAGGGGAGCTGTACTTAAAGTAATAAAGGAAAAGTAGGTAATTTTGGAATGCAGCTTGGGTTTTCCTGAACTTTGGAAAGGACAGAAACCCCCTCTGGAGGTCATCCAGGAGGCAACACGACTAGATGCTAAAAACAACCTCGTTAGGCTCCTTTTGAAGTACATCTTTTGTGAGCTTCCTCTGGATGTCTGACTCCTCATCCTGTCCCTGAGGATGAAGAGAAAACTCCTATTGTTCGATTATATTTGCAGTTTCACTCCATAGGTGAAAGTTGGAACACTGATCCCTGCTCAGCTCCCTCTTCACCACAGCAGTCCGATACGAATATTCTTGAACTTTTTACTTGACTGAGTCACGGCCTTTGTGGGATCCTTATTTTTTTTAAACAGCAGGATGTGTCTGCTATCCTACAGAGATCTGCATTTTATATAAAATGTTTAACCCTCAAACTTTCCAAAAGTGTGAAACAACATCACATTGTCTATCTGTAGCTGATTATCTGCAGGAACAATGAGAAGGATGTGCACTGAGGTAGATTTTACCTCTGACAAATACTTGCAGCCAAGAGGCAGTTTTTGTAAAAAAAAATATTTTTTTTTTGGAAGTGTGACCTGTGATTCACACATGCACCTGAAATCAGCAGTATAACGTGTTCCAATCTCTCATAATCCTTTTCATTGCTTCCCTCAGAGTTCACAACGAGGTCTGTCCTGCCTGTGATATCGCCTCTCAGAGGATGTTTCGAGGAGGAAGAACGGAATTTATCCGCTCACCCACGAATCAGGCGCTCAAATTCATTCTGGCCTTCGATGATCCGACTGTAGCGGTGAGAAACAGAAATTTCGTCCACTGCAGCAAACAGGAGTTGTTCGCTCTGTAACTTTGGATCACTGTGTATTTTATGTTTTTGCATGCAGAGGGAAGCAAAGCTGCAGCTGTTTAAAGAAGCTGTGGATGCTTATACAGCTCTGACCGAGCAGGTAGATAAATAAACTATAATCAACAAAGTTTATCTATTGTTTTCACCTGATAGATACTCATGCTGTAGTTTTTTCTTCTGTTCAGGCTCTTAAAGGCCACGGTATAGACCGCCACCTGCTGGGGCTGAAGCTTCAGGCCATCGAGGAGGGACTGAGCATCCCCAAGATCTTCATGGACACAGCGTACGGCCTGGCGACACACTGGAAGCTCCGCACTGGACAGGTGTGTTTGTTAGTCTTACAGAAGGTATTTGTGTTATTGTTTTATGAGACAGTGATCACATGAGAGAGGAACTTAATATCTCACGTGTTCTCTTGTTCTCTTCTAAAATGTAATTGCAGTCACATTTAAAGGTTATGTGATAAAAATTCGATGTCAACCATGTTCCTGACAGCATGTGATTTTTGTGACCTGTTGTAATTTCCACTGTTTTACAAGTCATGTTTGTGTCATAACATTTTTACAGTGTTTTCTCCATACGAACACTCTGGTGCTTTTATAATCTGGTGACTTACACTACTCACAATAAGTTAGGGATATTGTGAGAGACTCAGTGGATTTCATACATACAGTCTTTGTTTCACTTCAGAGATTTCTGGGCCAATACCAAAAAACTAAAAGACAACCTTTTTCAATGTGGCACCAATTTCAACATTCTGTGGGTATAAAAAGCTGGTATTGTCAGTAAGTCATTTCCAGTTCATCGTTCAAAAAGCCATGAACACACGACGTCACTTAACGGACGAGCAGCGCCACCTGGCCATAGCACGCCTTCGAGT